CTCTCTCTCTCTCTCTCTCTCTCTCTCTCTCCTCTCTCTTGGGGGGAATGTTTAGATTAAAAATGTTAATGGGAATATGATCTCTCTTTTTGTGTGTGTGTGCAATTCACAAATTAGTTTGTCGTTTGGTTATTTTGGCTTACTTATTATCTAAGACTGTGGTTTAAGTCCTAATTTCAGGGGTTGTCCATTTTCAGATAATTGACAGCCTTCCTTTGATTCCTAGTGCATTAGAATTTATTGGGATTTTATTTTCTTGGGTAAGTAGCTTATTCTCAAACCCATCTTTTGCAGTAAAAACTTGGGCATGCTTATTGCTTTCAGTTTTTATTTCTCTCTTAGCTGAATTCATACTTACGTTTGCATTTTGTCTCTCCTTTTCCTTTTCCCTCTCTCTGCAGTGGTTCATATACCGCTATCTTCTATTAAAGCCTGACCGGTAAGAAGTGTCTGCTATATATCATCTTGAAGACCTCTCTTACTTGTGTGTTATGCTCTCTAAACATTAACTAATTTTGTTTTAATTTATCGATTTCATGGCGAACTTATTGGAAACTGTTATCAAATCATATTTGATGAGATCCCTAGCTTGTATAATCCGAGGTATAGCATGCCTCATCACCATAAGCTTAGCAAGAATAAAACTGGAGTGCTAATAAACTTACTCCCTCTGACAAAAGAGCTAGTCAGGAGGATTCTTCTGATTTGAAAATTTGAAATTTACTTTAGAATCTTGGGATGAGTATTTCCCATAAAAAGGATTTTCTGTTTCTAAACACTTAGATATGACTGTTTTAGTTTTGATTTCTCAGATCTAGTATGCACAGAATCTTGCACAGAATTTCATATCTAATTTCCTTTCATGTGCCCATCTGACCCTGTAATTAGGGTACTGTTTGTATACTCATTCATTACTCTATATACAAGTTATTTTCTCTAAAAAAAAACACAGATATGACCATCCATTAGGATGGTCTCAGTCTTAAGACTTTTTCCTTTCAGGCACATATAGAATGCGTAAAAACATCTCTTTTTTTTTAGTTATCTTTTGAGGTTAGTCACTAGGTAGAGGACGTTACATCTCTGAAAATCCGGGTTCCTTAACACTCCTAGATAGGGGTATACCTGAGGGACTGAATGACTGATAAGTCTCCTTCAGGAGCATATAATCTTTTGGCCTAAAACTATAGTTAGAACTTGAGAGCATTTGTTACACACACTCTCTCTTTTCCCCCCTCCCCCCACACAAACACAAAAAAAAAGGTCTGTTAGTCTATTGATTCTTCCATAGGAGATATCAGATTCCACTATGCGCTCACTAGTGCATGATCTGGATGAACGGTTGTGGCCCTGTATTCTTTGCTCTTATGTCAAGTACTTGGAGATTATACGTATGGATTTTCATTAGTAATTATCCTTATGTAGTTTCATTCTTACTCTTGGACAAACACTTGATCTTGGTCTTGGATTAATATGGGTTTTCAAGAGGAAGCTAAATGTTTTCTGTGTATTACTTTAATGTTCATAAGATATTATGTATGTTCATATGTATGTTTGTACTCATACGGGGAGACCCTTTATACTCTCATAACACTTATTGTCCTTAAGCAGGGAAGCTAAGATGTTATGCATTGCATGCATGTATACATATGTATGTATATATGTAGTTTTAGGGACTTATTCTTTGCTGTGTGTTTGAAGATACTGATAAAGATTTTCTGCCTTTGCTTATTGCCAACAAATTGAACCCTATTAGTCTATTGTTTCAATTATACTTCCATGTTGGTGATAGTCGTCATGAATCTAGTTGGTTTCTTTCTCATATGAGATTAAGAAGGTTAAATCATTATATTCGTGTGTTGTTTCAGTGAAGAGCTGTTGACGAAGATCAAAGATTCAATCTCTGAAGTTGTTGGCGAGTAACTTCAGTTTCAGTTGATTCTGATAATTGTGTCTTAATGTATGTGTTTTCCCTGTCAATTGTGTGTGTGTGTGTGTGTGTGTGTGTGTGAGAGAGAGAGAGAGAGAGAGAGTTGATTTGCAACAGCAACTGGCATTTGTATGCAATTCAACATATGAAGTTCAGGTTTTGACTATTTATAGTTACATGACCATCCATGCTCTGAGATGGTTGATGCACTGTTTGGTCAGAGAGAGAGAGAGAGAGAGAGAGCGAGCTAATAAAACGCATATACCTATCTAATGAAAGGAAACCACCACAACAGCAGAGGGAAATTTACAAAAAAAAAAAGAAAACATGATTTGTTTTTGTGAGGGACGAAATTCAGTGGGGAATAACTGACCCTACCCGTTTTTTAAATGGTTGGATTTTTAAAATTGTCAATGAGATTGGAGAGCACGATGTGCGACTAAGGTGTTATTGTACAATGTTCTATAATATTTCATTTAGTAAAGTAAGATAAAAAGCATAACAAGAAGGAACTGAGTGAGAGAGCATAGCATACTATTCTTTGCCATCTTAAGGAACAAGAGTTTAGAGAGGGAAAGAAAGCATTAGGCCAACGTAGAAAAGGGCAAGGATGATTCAGAAATGGGTTGCATTCTAATTACGGAGAATCTTTGCTTAGAGAGAGAGAGAGAGTAGCATTCCACTTATTGGGCGTGTAAATAGGAGAGAGAGAGAGAAACATGTTCCCATGGGCATCTAAAGAGTGTGTTTTGTGTGTGAGAGAGAGTATGGGTATCTAGAGAGAGAGTGCATGGGCACATAGAGAGAGAGAGGCAAGATGTTTATTGGGCATCTAAAGAGAACAGAAGTAAAAAGTATTGAGAGAGAGAGAGAGAGAGAGAGATCTGTTCATTTAGAAAGGAGACTTGAGAGAGAGAGAGAGAGAGAGAGAGAGAGAGAGAGACGTA